GCTATTGTAACTGTTTTGCGAATGTTTTTGAAGTGCCTTCATATGTGTGTTGTTTTTACTAATTTTTTTTAAGCTACATATTTTGATATATTTTGTTATAGAAATTCAGTCCTTTTTTGCTGCTGACCGCTTTGTTGAAGAACTTGTGAAATACGGGAAAATTTTTCAGACATTTTGATAAGGCGTCTGCGCCTACTTTTTTGTGCAGATTTATTCGTCAGTAAATTTTCGTGATGTCACAAATAATAAGAAGTTGTAATATTTACTAAATTTCAAAAAAAAAAAAACTGCTTGTGTCTCTCTGTCCGTCTTTTTAGTTACATACTTCAGCTATGACACAATGGGTGTCAGAAACTTGAAATTTTGTGAACAAAATCGGCGTTTGCACGCAAAAATCTAGAAACTAAAATCAGCTCTCATGCCATTCTCTGTCACACCTATGACCCATTTAATTATGACAAATTTCAAAACTCGGGAATTGGAGACATAAGTTAAAAGTAAATGGATGAAATTCCGAACTGTATATTGCGGTCAAAAACCTAAATTTCGGGATTGACTTAGACTTCCTTGTGCATCTTGATCATTGACTTTTGACCCAATTTCAAGCAAATTTAATACCCGTGGGGCTGAAAAGTTTCGCGACAGTCTAATTTTAATATGCAAAAACAAGGGAAAACAAAATTTGGTAGCTTAGTCTCCAGGCTAATCCGGACCCAACTTTCAAGTTCTTACATTCTGACTAGAAATGCGAACGATCCAGACCCGCGACTAGCGTCTTGTAAACGGTCGCAGTATGAAAAAATTTCGAATCTTCATCTTCGGTTACACTGCATATTGTCATTTTGCGTGGATAAAGAGGAAAAAACTCCCACGTTATCACCTATTGTAATTCGCACCAGCTTATAGCAGAAATTCGTAGTAATATCATTTCCTCATTGCGCTTTTATTACTTGCCAATTAGTGCTAGAAATTTTCTTGGGCTCTGTCAGCAAAAATTTCATCACGTTACGCGATACTTACTGTTAACAGAAAACTGGTGTGTTTTTTTTCGAATGCTCAAGATGTTTTGCTGTTGCATTTTTCTTTTTTCGAACTTTCTTTCGTTTTTATTGACATAAAATCGGTTTAAAGCAGCCTGTTTATTTAGTACGATAAATTAGTCATTTGTTGTTTCACTGTCATTTTTCTCCTCGCGAATGATGCAACTGGCGACTTCTTCACTCGCTCTATTTTGGGCTTCTCTCATCCACGTTTAATAATGCAACCAAATATACCATGTAATTCTGTACAGTCAGCGCTACCTTGCATAAATTGTTCCAGACATCACTCTTTCAGTTACAGTTCTGAGCCCCAGCGGTAACTTCCTGCTTATTGAGCTTCAGAACCAATACATTTGACAATAGCGATATACAATTTTTATAAAAAAGACCATAAACCATAGTTTATTCAGAACTAAAAGGAAGATTCGATCTGCTGCATGATGTTAAGCAGATTGCAGCATCCAAGTTGACCCTCGAAGTGCGGAAGGCAAAGGTATGAAGA